AGAACTGGGCATCTGGGCCAAGTCGGCAGTAATAAAGGCTCATGCTGGCTGGGGAATTCTGGGAGTTGAAGTCCACACATCTTCAAGCGGCCAAGGTTGAGGAACCCTGCTGTATATTACTTTGGAGTAGTCAAGAGTTTTATACTGGTACATCGATTGGTTGTTGGGAGTCACAGTGAAGGTTTAGAGATGTGCCAGGTGAATTTGGGCATCCAGCTTAGCTGTAATGCATGGATTTGGCTAAGGAGTTTGAATCTGATGTGAATGCAAACTCAACAAACAGTACTGAAAATAGACTATGATGTAGCCTAAGACATAAAACTCAACCAATCCTGCTGTAGTCTACACTTTCTCACAAAATACTAATGACCGTGTAGGTTTCCATACGTTTATTTTCCTCAACAGCTACTGTAGCATCTAGCGGGCTTTGTTTTGTGTTCGTAGCCATAAGGGACGCATCTTCATACAACATGCCTTTATGCATATTGAAATCTGCGGCAGGCCTCTGATGTCTTCCTTTTCCTTTCCCTTTCGCCGGATTCCCGTGCAGCATTGACACTCCAGGAGTGATCAGCCGTGTCTCTCAGCTGTTCAAAGGTCACCCAGATTTGATCATGGGTTTCAACACCTTCCTGCCTCCCGGGTACAAAATTGAAGTCCAGACCAACGACATGGTGAATGTAACAACCCCAGGGCAGGTTCACCAAATCCCAGCCCACGGCCTCCAGCCGCAGCCCCAGCCTCAGCCCCAGCACCCGTCTCAGCCTTCAGCACAGTCTGCTCCCACCCCAGCACAGCCAGCGCCACAGCCGCCACCTGCCAAGATCAGCAAGGTAAGGGCAAGTGAAATAGGCAGGCTTTGCTTGGAAACAGGAAAGCGTGGGGCTTGAGCGCGATGGATTCCCAGCACTGGAGGTGATAGGAGGTGTCGTTAAAGATGGAGTTTCCCAAATAGCTGGAACATTTACTAGGGATCAAAACCCATTCAATGTAGCTGGACTGATTTTTGAGTAAACATCTCAGGACAGGACCTCTTCTGTTGGATGGAGAAGATCAGTCCTGCTTTGGGGCAGGTAGCGTCTTTCCTCATCATTTATAATGGCCTGTTCCTCTGGGCTAAAGCCGTCATAATCCGTTTGCTCTGCCTTTTCAGCCGTCTCAGCTGCAGACACACACGCCCACCAGCCAGCAAACTCCTCCAATCCCCTACGCGTCCCCTCGCTCTCCACCAGTGCAGCCCCACACGCCTGTGACAATCTCTCTTGGAACCACACCGTCCCTCCAGAACAATCAGCCAGTTGAGTTTAATCATGCCATCAACTATGTCAACAAGATCAAGAATCGTTTCCAAGGACAGCCGGACATTTATAAGGCTTTTTTGGAGATCCTCCACACGTATCAGGTGAGTAAGCCAGCTATTCATTTTAAGGCTGCTCTGAATTTGGCAGCTGAACAGAAGAAGGGTGTTTGGCAAAGCAGAAGGAATCTTGTTAAATAGGCAGTGGGACAGATGGCTATCCCTGCTAGCGTAGTTAGTTGGAATTGATGGGTTTGCTGAAAGAATAAGACTTTTTCAGTAAGTTTGAAAAACTGAAATAGATGCAGGTGGACCTAGAGAGAGATGATTTGCCACTCCAGTATCTGGTGCTTGGTGACAACTTTGGGGCAAAGCGCAAACCACCTCCAGTGTCTTTTTCAGCTCATCACTTGCTACTCTTATTTTGAGATCTCCAGCAGGGTGCCCTCCTTCCTCCCTGCCCCCAGGCTCAAAAAGCAGAAACAGGTGAGGGGCAGCTGCTAAAAGTTTTAGTTTCTTCTTCTTCTTCTTGAACCTTCTCCTCTCTCTCATAACAGAAAGAGCAGCGAAATGCCAAGGAAGCTGGTGGGAACTATACCCCAGCGTTGACTGAACAGGAAGTCTATGCCCAGGTGGCACGCCTCTTTAAGAACCAGGAGGACTTGCTCTCCGAATTCGGGCAGTTCTTGCCAGATGCAAACAGCTCAGTTGTGAGTGACTTCTAATTTGACTGCTTGCTTACAGGGGATCTCTGTCAAGGCACTGCTATGTGCCCTGTTCTTTTTGTTCCAGTATGACTTGCACAATATTGAAATGGGCTAAGGAACCTTGGGGTATCAATAAATACATCAGAGCGGGTTGGGCAGGTGGCTTCCTTTCAGGCTTTGTAACAGAATGTGAGAATGACTGGGGTGGAGGGGCGAGGGCAAGGGTTAGGGAATGATCTGATAAAAGGGGGAGGAGTCCCCAACTGAGTAACGGACAGAGAAACTTGGAAAGGAGCCACCCTAACTGACCAGGTGGTAAATAGGGATGGCAGGAGATTTGTACTTGCAGACTTGCAAGATTCTGTTAATGTAGCCTTATAATAAAGTAGAATTAGCTCATCTGGTCATGTTTCTTGTCTGGTCCACCTGGTAAGGCTGACAAGTTTTTAAGACTCCTTTAAGAGTCTTTTCTGCCCATGTTTGTTCTTCCTAAGCCGATTTATGTACCTCTTTTGGCTATGGAACAACTGACAACCAGAGAATTATTATTAGCGCGCATATATACTGTATGAGGGCTGAGCGGGACGTGATCAAAAGTCATTTTTATCTTCGATGCATGTATTCATAGCCTCTTACCTGGCTAACTGTTGTGAAGCGTTTTTGCATGTTCTTGACTGTGGGAACCATGATGGACTTGTCTGTGGTTCTTTCCAATCAGCTCTTAAGCAAGACCACTGCAGAGAAAGTGGAGTCAGTGAGAAATGATCACGGGGGCACCGTTAAGAAGCCCCAGCTTAACAGCAAGCAGCAAAGACCCAATCAGAATGGCTGTCAAATCCGGAGGCACGCCACCACAGGGGTAACCCCTCCAGTGAAGGTGAGAACCTGTTGCTGCTTCCTTCACAAGGCTAATAGTGGTGGTAATTCTGTGGATCGTGTACAGTCCTTAGATATAAGCACATACCAAATAAAAACACCGCTTCAACCTAATGTTCAATCCTGTCTTCCCCCAGTAATAATAATAAATGCTTTAATTTTAGAAACTAATAACACCTAAGGCAGTGTTGTCCAAACTTGGCCACTTTAAGATGAGTGGACTTCAACTCCCACAATTCCCCAGCCAGCAATTCTGGGA